AAAAAAAAAAAAAAAAAACGCATAATAAAGCATATGAGCTGAACAAACAAATTTTGCTTAAAACGCAAAAAACTATAACAACTACAGCATTAGAAGCCAACAACCGACTGACAACGACTTTGGGCGCCTGTATCTTATCATTAAATAGCTCAAATTTCAGTGCTGGGCGATTTTCAAACATAGGCTTATCCAGGACATGCTGCTTCGGGAGGTGGGGGGAGGGGAAAATGGGGCTTCTGGGAGAAAGGGGGGGGGGCACGAGGGATGCGGAATCGAGTTTTGTTCAGTTTTAACTTTAGACCCGTACTTTTGTAACACTGGTGGAATGTGCCATTGGAGGCCCCCCCCCCAAGTAGGTGTTAATGCACTTAAATCTATCCCTCTGGATGGCGCGGTACTCGCGTACGGGGGCGCCAAGCTTTTTTTAGCACAATTTCAAAACTGGGTTGTGTTAGAAGCTAGAGCGCAGAAATCATAGGATGATATTCGCTGTCCAAGTAGGTGAGTTTGTCAAATAATCCATGTTCATTTGCATATACAACTGCGGTTCAGGTCCGAGTTGCTAACGATTTTTGGGTTGAGGAGCTGCTTGAGGCTATGGTTGGAGAGCTAGAGAGCTGAGTTTAAAATTTTTATCTCGCACCCTTTCCTCTCTGGATCCGTCTATTTTACCAAATAATAGAAAGGCAAAAATCGCTATAGAACATTCTGTGCGACATACTGTGTAAAGGACGAACGAGAGGGCTACAAATAGACTCAACGGCATCATAACATATTCCGGATTAATTGATACACCCATACGTCCGGTAACGGGAACGAAGAAATCAAAGAGTAACATAGCTGCGTAGGCATCAAATACCATTACTGGTACCGTGCATAATAACTGCGTGAAGAGTAAGCAACGAGGTGTTACTCCTGGAAAAATTGAGGTGAAACTTTTGAATAAAATGGGTTACTGCTTTTCCACACTCCAAACAATGAAAATGTGGCATTTTAATATCTCAAAATATGCCATTTTCATCCAGCAACACTAAAACTTGTCGATAATAAATAATTGATCAGCGCACCGACTGTCGATGCGAGGATGCGTTTTTTGCATAGTTCCTCGCTGGTTTTGCCGCTAGTGACGCTGCTTTTTCCGGCAGATGTTTTAGCTAAAAGAATTGAAACTGGCCGCCAGGACTGTCAGAAAATATTCCCTTAAAATTATAGCTTTCTAGCTTTCCTGGTTCTCAGGTTAGCAGCTTACCTGCCAAAAACACTCACAAGTCCGTACGTGGGAACCACGTGGGTAAGAGCGCCAATTTTGGAGATGGAGGCCTACACGTGCATATAGATTAAGTTCCCAACGTTTCAGTCTTGTAGCTTTTGTAGGTCTCGAGACGAAAAATCGGTAGAGGCGAACACACAGACAAAAATACACATACAGACAACCCCTCAACAAAACGCGCTTTTGCATTGCATAGACGCAAAAATGCATAAAAATAAGCTCTCATATTTCAAGAGAAAATTACGGAAAAGTTCCATTTCGATAACAAATTCAAACAAATTTCACGTTATTGGTGAAGTATTTGAGCTCCGATCATCCTTCAACCGATAAAAATTTCCAACATCCCTCCCTCCCTCCTCCCTAATTCATCTCAGTCTCACTATAAGCAATACGATTTTAACTCTGATGTTTCAATCGGTGTGAAGTATTTTTCACATTTATTTTTTAAGAAAAAAAAATAATTTACTTGTGATGAGTCCCATTTTTCCCAATAAATAGATGAGTGGGTCGCGAAGTAAGGGGAAGAATGCGTGAATAAGCAAGAAAAAAGCACTTGCAATACCCAGATATGTAGAATATGCTAGTAAAATTGCAAAAAGTAGCAAAACACCATCAAAATGCACCATTTCTGCATTAAGCTTCTGCAAAATCGATGAAATTTTTAGGGAAAGGCGGCACACAACTCCTTCAAAACAGGTTAACTTTAACTGGTGATACCCTTACTTTTCGGCTAAAGTTTGAATAATTTTATTCGGCGATCAATCCCTCTACGATTCGTTCATTCGTTTCGATGGCAAACTGATACGAAATTACTCCACACAGTCAAAATTGCCATCAGCTTGCTTCTAAGCAATCTTTGAAAGAGTGGTGCCATCGGTAGCTATACCAGCCGGTGGTAGCTACTGCTGGCACTAGTTACTATTTCGAGCTATTTCCGAATGCCTTTGTTTCTTACAAGCAACAAATATGGGCCCCCAATTTGGCAAACTTTTGAGACAAACAAAAAAACTCCTAAACTATCAAAGACATCCGGTCTGTCCAAGTGAACGACACTCGACAAAGCCTTATTTTTACATCCAAAGAGCTATTCCTCGTCCTTTTTTCCCCCGTAATAATAAGCCGATTTTAGCAATTATGCTAGCCCTGGACGCCAAAATGGTAAAGTCGTGATAGATTACAGCATGAAAGAACAGTATGAGAAAAGAAGGTAAGAGTGAGATAAAACGTTTCGGTCCATTAAGTAAAAAGAAAATCTTTCCTTCAAGAACTGCTAACTCTCGACTAATTTAACGAACTGAATAAATCTCCTGCGCACTTACTCCGCGGCAAATGCTTCCATTTCATACTAATTTAGTCTCCGTTTTTTATTCTTAAAAAAGACGGAACGGCACCAAAAAATAGCTAAAAAACATCACTGTAAGTTCCAAAAAAAAGCACTACGCATGAATATGACAAAATAAAAGCCAAAAACACTCTAATGCTTCGTTTCGCCTGATAAATCCCAGAATCAGAATGAAAACTAACACTTTTCTAATTATCTGATTAGGAAAAGCTGGAAATATTCCTCACAGTTAAGCAATTACCTTGTGCAGATGAGCAATTGTGGCATGCGTCGAACATCCGGCAATTAGCATTGGAAAAATATACAGTGGAAAAACAAGTTCCGGAAACGAATACCAGCACATCACCATATCAAACGCTACCAAAATTACTATAATCAACAAACCCACTCCTAAAATTTTTTTGAAATTTCAATAATTTTTGATGTTCTGTGAATTTTTGTGATGTTTCTAAATCTGCGATACTTCAAAGCAAAAGCCTATTTCATAATTAAGCTTTTTTCCGCCATCTTCGTAGAATTTGCAATGTCCGAGT